CTTTCCGAGTCTCTGACTTAACTAACCGAGAGACTGCGCTACTGTTTGTCTGGAGGGACTTAGTAACCTCACTCAGACTAGCTGGTATCGAGACCGACAATCGAACTGAGCACCTGGAGAATAAAAATCTTTGAAAGTTACCGCTACACCAACCTGCTCAGTTTTCCTGCTTCACATTCATAGATTTCAAATTGGTAATCTCTCTAATAACACAACAGAGACGAGTGTGAGTTTGTGCATCTGTTGATCTTTACAATGTTGGGCAAATAAAATTCGTTTGAGCCTCATTTTTAATTTCGCGCCGGGCGATCTGGCAACGCTGTTACTTGGAATGTTAGGTGACTCAACAAAACAGAGCTCACGAGGAAAGTCTGGATAAGGTGCGTTCAATATTAGGTAAACAAATCACTGTGTCTCATCTGTGTCCAGACATGCAAATGGAGCGTAAGATGAAACACAGTGTAAATGCGAATTTCTGTATTAAACTGCATAAATTGTCAAGTGAATTGTTAGAGACGTTAAAAACAGTTTATGGTTAATCCCCACGCCAAAGAAGCCACGGATAACAAAGTGCAAGATCAAAACAATATTTACCTGCTTTTTTTCGACATCACGGATATCATCAACTTTGAATCTGTACCCGAAGTGATCACGTGGAAGTGTTGAAAAGGCTTATTGACGCCGCGAGGCACAACGGAGGTGAGTTGTGGAGAGATAATTCACTGATTCTTCACCAAAACAACCCGCCGGCATAGCCTTCGTTTCGAGTGTCGCAGATTTTAGCAGGAAAAGGCATCTCTGCCACGGATCATCCGCCATACTCTTCTGCCTTGGCTCCAGCTCACTTCTGGCTGTTTTCAGAACTCGAAAGCTTGTGCCTAAAGGAAAGCGTTTCTCGGACGTTGAAGACGTTAAATCAACTGTGAAAACGATTTTGACAGACATTCCTCTTCAAGATTTTAAAAACTGTTTTGAACAATGGCCGTAGCGCTGGAAATATTGTAAGGATTGGAGGGATATTACTTTGAAAAATTCTAGGTTGTTAATATCAGCATATATTAAAATAAATTTTAAAATATTAGTCTCAAAACTTATTTTTACGACGTAGTATATATTTTGACGCCGCTGAACCTGTTTCGACGAAATTTTTCTTGATGGTAGACGACTACTCAGGGGCAGTTTTAGATACCTGACAGGTCTCCAAAATTTATAAAACCCCCGAAAATAATACCTTGATTATTGCTCTAGAACTGTTCGTCCCAGCGTAGAGAGTTCTTCCCTCGTTTAGGAAATGCTAACTATATATATATATCAGTTGCAGCGTTTGAGATACTTAATTTTCAGTTTTCAAAAGGTAAGCAGTAATTTTGGCCCGCACCATAGCTCAAGCGGTTAGTCGCTGGATTCCCACCGCGGCGGTCCGAGTTCGATCCCGAGTCTGGTCAAGTGGGATTTGTGGTGGACAAAGTGGCGCTGGTGCGGGTTTTCTCCGAGTACTTCGGTTTCCCCTGCCAATCTTCATTCCACCAAATTCTCCATCATCATAATCACATGGGGCAGATACAATAGGCCATTCAGTGGCCGCCGTGCCGAGTGGACCCAGTTGGACACCACCACCCCACTAAAGCGAATTAAAAAATGTAAAAAGCATAAATGTGAGGATTTACGTTGTAATGGATTGATTCCCTCGCTGTTATTTCTTTATATTAATATTATGAACATCAACACTATAAAGTTCCAATGTATTACACGGCTGCATTACGAACTGGAAACCCCGGGCAGATCACCTAATTGGTTAATAAATAAAGGATACACTCACTTTATTATTATTACTTCTTACAGTAAGTTTGAAGAAGAGCCGGGATAGTCCAATCGGTATAGCGATGGGCTACGGGCCGGACGCCCGGAATTCAGTTCCCGGAAGAAGCAAGCCCACTCAGCCTCCTGTACAGTGTTTACCGGGGGCTCTTTCCCCAGGGGTTAAGCGACCGGAGCCTGAAGCTGATCGCTCACCTCCATCTAATACCGAGGTCAAGACTGCTGGAATTGTACCTCCACTCCCCCATACGTTTTTATGACATGGTGCTGAATTAAACACAGGGACAACTTTTCATTTTTATTTTCAAATTTATGGTATGTTAATATGCCAACATGAAATCGGAAGTTATTAGCGAACTATGATTTGGGAACAGCACTGTGTTCTAGGTCACATCGCCTTGTGGTGTGGTTCGGAGACAGTGACGTTTCGGAGGAATTTATCGTCTCCATCTTCACGGTCAAAGAGTAACGCAAGCTTAGACTGCCTCATACTTTTTTCTGTCTCCTGCTTCGCCTAATCTTTGTACCTGAAAGTGGAGTCAGCATGTTGCTCCGAAACGTCAGGCTGTTAACTGCCGTGAGAACTTGATATGCCACAACACTTGTGTCAAGTGACTTCTGTATATTGTCTTTGGTTCGCACTTGGACATGTAAGTTGAACCACACAGGTCGTGCTGAAGGTTTTCAGTGATACTTTGTTTCCCGAAAATGGCCACTTCTTGCTTCCAGAAGAAAGGCAATAGACCTAAATGATCGTTTTATATATTAGAAATTGAAGGACTCAGTACAGGAACGGGTTGGCCTAACTTTACTTTATTTTTACGCCCTTTCACATATGTAGAAATCGCCCAAAGGAGCAGCGGTGCCGCCTAAGTGACTAGTTACACTGTTGCACTGAAAACGGTGACACGCCGTGGTATGACGTTAAACGAGTTCTTCAAATCATTATAGATGTATATATTTTTTTTCGGAAGTGTGTTAAAGTGAGTGTCCATTTTACACTGAATAATTCAATTTTCATTTCAAACAGATGCAGACTTTTAACTGAACCTGAACTCCACAATGCATTAAATCTCTGAAGTGGGATTTTAATTTAAATGACATTTATAAGTTAAGTTTGTACCCATCTGCAGACATACTCCGTCTGAATTATAAGTACCAGCCAGTTAATTCTGTTTAGGGAAATATTTGCTGTTTGTTGAAAGTATCATGGGACAGAAAATAGTACATTGTATAGGCAGAATGCATAGTCTTCTTAATGTTGAAGCAGGTGGAAAATATAATTACCAACGCGCTTAAATAGCTGAAGATAAATTAAGTCATCTAATTTGTTAATCAATGAGTGACTTTTACCACTAAAACCCTTCTGAAAACAGGTAAAATTGTTAAAGTAAATGATATCTTAATGTAACTTTCGGAAATTCGGGCAGATTTGAAGAGTCTTCAGATGGTAAACTAAATAACAATTTTATATCTGACGATTGAGGCAGGATACTCGCCCGAAAACTTAGTACTCGCCTACGTGAGTACACCTTGTTATAATATAAAAGACTACAATATTAATTTTCACTGCCATGAAATCCTGAAATCTCAAAAGAAAAAATAGTTTATTGCAGTCTGTAGCAGATGTGCCCCATATCGAGTCTCGCTGAATGTTAACTTCCAAGGTCATGCAGAAGGCACGTCTCAGCACAACTGGGGGGTCGCATTGCACGTAATAAAATACCAAATAGTTGTGCATCCTGGAATTGAAATCAGACCTTCACAACGATATACTCGCGACTAACCAACTTTCCACCGCGGCGGTCCGGGTTCGATCACTGGTCTGGTCAAGTGGGATTTGTGGTGGATAAAGTGGCAGGTTTTCTCCGAGTACTTCCGTTTCCCCTGCCAATTCCCATTCCACCAATTGCTCCACAATCGCCATCATCTATCATCTGGGGCTGGAACAATAGGCCAGTAGTGGCCGCAGTACCAAGTGGACTCAGTCTCGCCCCATGATTATGATGATGATGATGATTATGATAACTGACGTATTGCGCCTAACCAACTAAGCCCATGAAACTTGAGTTCATCCTGAGAAGCTAGTACTTAACTCAGTCACTAACAAAATTCCCAGCGGTTTGTGGAACCCGAAGTTTCAATACTTTGTTTTCAAGAATCTGCCACTGTGCCCTTTTCTGAGTCACACAAATCCAGTTCACACACCCCAATCCTATTTCTTTAAATTTCAGTTTTAATATTATCCTCCCGTCTGCAACTGGATCTTTCTAGAGGACTCTTTCCTTCAGGTATCCCTACCAAACGTTTTGTTCATCTTCCTCCCATGCGTTCTACGTGCCCTCCACCTGTCACCCTCCTTCATTTAGACATTTTAATAATTTTTGTGAGGAATACAAATTGTTAAAATTCTTAGTATGTAATTTTGTTCAGTCTCCTATTACTTCCTCTAACGTCCAAATATTAAGAGCCGGGATAGCGCAGTCGGTACAGCGACTGGCTACGGGCCGGACGACCATGCGGTCGCAGTTCGAGTTCCGGTGGGGGCAAGAATTTTCTCTTCTCCACATCGTCCAGACCGGCTTTGGGGACCACCCAGCCTCCTATCCAATGGGTACCGGTGGCTCTTTCCCTGGGGGTAAAGCGGACGGGGCGTGAAGCTGACCACTCACCTTCAACTAGTGCCGAGATCAAGAATGTGTGGGTCTATACATTCACTCCCCCATACGTCTTCATGGCGTAGTGCTTAAGTAGTTAAGCATCGGGACAACTTTCCCACTTTCTGTACCTTAACTTTCAAATATTGCCCCCAGAACCCTGTTTTCAAACATCCTCAGTCAGTGGTCCCCCCTCAGAGCAACTAGACGTTCTCACAGCGGTGACTATCTGCGATATAACGCGCCTGTAGTCCGTTTAAAGTCAACCGAACTTTCGGAGGAACATATCGCGTCCATCTTCAGGGTAGAATAAGCCAAGAAAGAAACCAGTTCCATTTGCCACCTGCTTTCACACTGGCTTCTCGCTTACGTTATCCTTCGAACCTGAAAACTGGGGGGGATATGTTTCTCCTAAACGTCTGTTGAGTTTCAGCGGACTTCAAGGTATTATATCCCATTCTTGAAGAGAGACTAAGTTTCACATCCATACAGAAGTACAAGTGAAATGAAGAAGTTAAGACTCACCGTGATATCTGTAGTTAGCGGCTGTTGATGTACGGGGCTCTGGATCGGGGAGGCGCCATGGGGCGCTCCGTCATGTTTGGCCCCAGCGCCTTCTTAGAGTATTGTGCTGGATGGAACAGAGGCGAGAAGTCTGCCGAGCCGTGTTCCCGCCACAGCAACCTGTAGCACTGAGCGCGCAGTGTCCTCTGCCTCTGGAACCTGTTTAACACTGCCGCCTGCAGACGGGTCGAGGGAGGGGGGCGCAAACACAAGAAGAAAACTTTAGTTTCCAAACTGAACTACTCCCGCGCGCGCCACGCTTTTCTTTTTCCACCCGCGACGCCCAATGTTACTTTTTGTTTTGTTAAGTCATACTTCGGTCATCTTCGGTCGTGTTCGTTAAAGTTTGGTGGCTATCTACCGTCCTTTTCTCTCTTTTTTTTTTGTCACCGTTCATTACTCATGTTCCAGTAAACACTATGCCACTCTTACAAACGCATTACTCTGCGCTGATATCAGTTCTGATTAACGACGCTCTGTTTTGTTACGTCACTTAAACGTCATTACAGTGTTGTAGCGGTGGTGCGACTGGGGTAATCCTTCATTTGTTTGCAGGAAGTCCCGCTTTTTAACAATTCTTTACAAAGTAAAACAGGAACGCCTTCGTATGGAAATCATGTCTGTTCGTTACAGTATTCATTCATTCGTTCATTCAATGGCTGTACAGCCCTTTCTTGGGCCCTGGCCTCTTCTTCATTTTCATAATCTTTTCTACACAGACGGTAGGGCTCCTTGGACGGGTGTTCAGCCCGTCGCAAGGACGCTACCTACAGACAGGGCAACACAAACTCAGAATGAACGCAGACATTCATGCCTCGAGTGGGATTCGAACCTACAATCCTACTGTTCGAGCAAAAAGACATTGTCTGTTTGAGCATGAAAGAGTATAGTTGCCTCAGACGCTGGACAGACAAAAAAAATCTGTAAATGAGATTTCTGCTAGGGCATTTTGAATATTTTGGCGTAGGTGAGAGGATAAAAAGGTAAAGGTACAGTTGTCCCTGTACTTAGCTAAGTAACCACTACGCCCTGAAGGCGTATAGGGGAGTGCATGTGTAGACCCACGTTTTCTTGACCTCGGCACTAGTTGGAGGAGAGTGGTCACCTTCACGGACCGGCCGCTTTGCCCCCGGGGAAATAACACCCGATACCCATTGGATAGGAGGTTTCGTGGGCCACAGAGCCGGTCTGGACGACATGGAGAAGTGAAAATTCTTGACCGCACCGGGACTCGAACTCCGACCCCATGGTCGTCCAGCCAGTAGCTAGTCTCTATACCGACTACGGTATCCCGACTAGATTAGAGGGTAATATTAAAATATTATATTCGTAGCATCCTGTTGCTTTTATCACTTAGTGTCGATTAGTTTTACAGTCTCACGCGCAACACTATGTTTTATATAATTTATTAAAAGTTATTCACTTCAAAAGTTTACCAATGTATTCAAACACATGACATGCAGCACAGCACAAAACAGGAGGGAATACAATGCACCAACTCATACACACATGTGCATTGAGAGGACTTATACATATTAAAAACATAATCAACTAAAGAGAAGACAGCTGTTTCCTCGTCCAATAATTTTAACACCCGATGATGACCACACTGATAGGAACATGTAGTGAACAAAACAAATTCCGTGGTTTTAGTCCGCAAGGGAACTATACCGACAGGGCGACCGTCGCTTTTCGGCGAAGTTAGTACCAACTTCAGCGGATAGAGGATGTCGCGTTATCAGCGCAACGGATCCCCACGGCCGTTAATTTCGGTTTTCTAGACCGGAGCCGCTATTTCCTTGAAATAGCTCCCCAGTTATCATCACGAAGCTGAATGGACCAAGTTCCAGACCCACTACTTCTCAGAAAATCTGCTAGCCCCGGGAATCGAACCCGGACTTCTGGATCTGTAGTCAGGACCTCTGACCACTAGATCACAGAGGCGGTCTGTAGTGATAAACTTTTAAAGTGAATATCTTTTAATGCATTTTATAGAACATAGTGTTGCGCGTGAGACTGCAAAACTAATCGACACTAAATATTAAAATGGATCTTAAAGAAATGGTATGGGAAAATGTGGACTGTATACATCTGGCCTAGAAGAGAGACCAGTGGTGGGTTCTTGTTAACACATTAATGAAACTATTTTTTTCCTTGGCACTACAGCCCCACTGGGTCTAGGCCTACCTCCATGAACTTCTCCGTTTACTTCGGTTTTACTAGATCTTAGACATACGGTAGGACTCCTTGGGCGGGTGATCAGCTCGTCGCAAGGCCTCTACCTCTACACAAACACAGAAAAACGCACACACACAAACTATACATCCATTCCCAGAGTGGGATTCGAACCCACGATCTCAGTTTCTAAGCGAGCGAAGACAGTACATGCCTTAATGAAACTTTGGGTTCCATAAAATCTTGGTAAATTCTTGAGTAACTGCGCAACTGGCAGCGTCTCAAGGAGGACTTGGCTCCATGCAGTTATTTAAGCGCTAATAGATCATATACATTACAGCCGTATCTCACTGTAAAGGTCCTGCTTCAATAGCAGGACGGTGAGTTTGGGGTTTGTGGTGTACAAAGTGGCATTAATCAAGATTTTTGCTACGAGCACTTCTGTTTTACCCTGCCACTTATCATTCCACTAATGCTCCATATTTGTCTACCAATAGGGGCTGGTGCAATGAGCCCATTTGTGATCTCAGGATCACCATCCTGCCGCTCTTCAGCTAAACAGGATCACCATCCTGCCGCTCTTCAGCTAAACAGGACCACCATCCTGCCGATACATGGACATGCATCAACATGCAGGTTCTCACTCTCATGAATGTTGAGGCTGAGGATTTCTGAGATTTGACGTTGTGCATTTTGGGAAATTGTTACAAATTTCTCGGAAAAAGATGGACACAATAGGTTTCTCCAAAATTCCGGTAACCGTCTATCAGAAGACAGGGCGTCATATCCCAGAAGACCATAGTCATAGCAGTGGCCAGTTCCGGGGCTATTTAAATTGTTAACAAGTTGTTCTGAGATGAACTAATCGCCTATTTTCCTTTAATACGACACAAATTGTCCAACAATTCTTCAACTGGTGAGTGCGTATTCATTACCGCGATAACCGTTTTACCAAGCCGTTGCCTAGCAACACACATATAGAGAAACACAGATTGGTAGGATGGATTTATGAAGTACGCCGTTGAGATGGGCTCAGGTGCCGTGATATAAATGCGAAGTTTCATAAAAATGTATTCAGGCCTTCAAAAGTTACACACACAGACACGCGGACAGGAAGGAATCTCATAAGGAAAGCAGGCTAAGAATGGGTGAACAGGCTGTGTCAGATGAACGACTGTGGAGTGAACTTTGGTGTACAGCGTTGCTGAGTAAACCCTTTTGCGTGTTCCTTGAGTTATCTTACAACAGCCTCAGTAGCTACAATTGTATGGCGTCGGCTGGTATGATGATTCATATGTGATGAATTGGAAAGGAATAGGAAGGAAGCGATCGTGACCTAATCAAGGTATTACCCTGGTTATTACCTGAAGAAACTGAGGAAATCCACGAAACGCTACACCAAGACGGGTGCTTCGACTGAGTTTAATGAAAAGAATCCATCAGGAGATGATGGAGTTACATGTTTCTAGCTCTTCTGATTAAGGAAAATTGTTCCTTGGCCTGACATCTGTCTGTTTGTATGTGCGTCTCCATGACGTCTGGCCTGCTGGATGGAAGTTGCCCATATTCGCCCTAAGCTTTATTCATTATGGGCCGGTCGGAGGGTAATCTGAATGCTGCGTCTTTAAAAACTGGGGCCCTTAAAATTCTCCCGGAAAAAAAAAGATTTATCGAAAAAATATTCTACCGATTTTCATTAAATTATAGTAATGTATGGAGGACATAAGGTAAATCTATCTCTGTAAAAGCCCGTGGAGGCCCATGGTGTTGTGAGACGTCGAGGCTAACATATTTTCTAGACAATCTGCTCGAAGACGGCGGTAATGTTGTTAGCCTTATGCGCCGGCCGCCCTTTACCCCCAGGAAGATTCCTGGTACTTTTTTTCTGTTAGAGGTTTAGTCGATCCCAGGGCTATACCGAGGCTGGAAGGATTAGGTAAATTGAAAAGAAATCCACCTCATCGGGAATCGAAATCGCCACCTTCCGGCTTGTAGCCAGTAGTAGTGTCTCAACCAACTGCCCTACCGCGTGCCCTCTTATGAGGACATATCCCTAAATAAAACTCCATAGGTGACAACTTCAGGAAAACAACGGTACGTCCTCTGTGTGAGAAAGTACATGTTTTGCACCTGATATTTTTTGTTGTTGGCGTTTTCATTGTGTGTCAATACCGGATTGCGTGTCGCAGCTGAAACCTTTGTATATGCCAATCGTATAAAATATCTTCCAGGTGAACAGAAAAAGTTCATTAATATAGGCTTTCCTATTAAGCAACAGGCCCGTCTACATGGGCTGCCATTACTAAACTAGAATGTAATGACGCCTCTCTGTAGATAATTATACTAGAGCGGGTTGGCGCAGCGGTAACAAATCAGAATAGCATTCTGGAGGTGTTCGGTTCGAATCTCGGTTCTTACATCTTTTATCCTAACTGAGGTTTCTTGTGACTTTCCTCAGTCCCTCCAGGCAGATGTTGGGACAAACACAATTCAGTAACAAACACATCCTCCCAAATTCTTTCCAATTCATCACTCAACAATTATTATTCTAAATGTACGGCGTCCTTAAATAACCCGCAGCAAAGAAGACTGCATGTAACATGGACTCCCTAAGTAACTCCATGAAACCGAACCAAGAGCTAATACTCGCTCAGGTACTCAAGAAATTCCTTGCTTTTTATGCAACTCGAAATTTCATTACTATGTTCACCCGCACAGTAAGTTACTTTTACTCATTACTCGTTCATGGAACTGAGCCCTTCTTGAGAAGCTGTAAATTGTGCAGTTACTCAAAAACTTCCAATCGTTTTATGGAAGCCAAAGGTTTATTACCGTGTTCACAAGGGCCCCCCCTGGTCCCTGTCCTGAGCCAGATCAATCCAATCCATACTATCCCATCCTATCTCTCTACGATCCATTTAATATTGTCCACCCACCTAC